TGATACTCAGTGGGACCAGCAGGACCAGTAGACCTAAACCACTTCAGGGAGTCATATGGTCCACATCCAGACATCAATTCATGGACCTTTACCTTGTTTTGGTCTCTGTGAGGACGGACACCATGTGGCTGATGCTTCATGATAAAATGATGATGTGATGATGTAATCTCAGTGTTTCTTTCAGTTCACATCAGCAGAGAGGAAAGTCTCCTGAACCCAGATGTGTGTCCATGACGAGTGATCAGTCTATTAATCATCTGATTAACTTCAAAGATGGATGCTGTTCTTATGACCCAGAGTAAGTTATTAAACAGATGAAGAACTGTTCAAATGAAACACAGAAATGGTTGTGGATTGTTTAAAAAGTGTTTCCATGATGATCAATCATTACAGAACTCGTTATCTTTATCTAACTGGTCTGTGTGTGTTTAAGTGTGAATCATTAACTGTAAACATCCTCAGATGTAAACACAATGTGAGCTAGTTCCTCCACATCAAGATCAGGAAAGGTCACATCTTGAGATAGCTGCAGATTTCCGGAGACAGATGACTGGGACTGAACATGTGATTCGAATAAATTCAGTGCTCTGTGGACCAGCTGACGTTGTCTCTGGACTCAAGGCAGAGGATTGGAGAAAGTATCGTCAGTAGACTCTGTGAAAGGTCCAAAGACTAGTTTCAGAAGATCTAAGGAGACTTCTAGAGGTCAGGGGAAGGACTAAAGAGGGTTGGAGTAGTCTCATAAGACTTTTTATCAGATGCAGAGTCTGCAGATGTTGTTTTTATGACCCACAGTAACTCAACTAAAAACAGATGAAACTGGCCACTCAACTAATAAACTAATCAACAGTCTTCAGCATCTGGTTTTCATGATGATCAATCATGACAGAAGCCAATATCTTTAACTGTTGAATTGGTGTTGATGGTACAAACACCAAGTTAGCTGATGGTTTATGTTCGTCCACAGAGAGAACCAGGAGAGCTCAGAGGTTCCCACAGGTCCGTCTGCCCAGCAGCGTCAAACACACCTGGACTCCATCTTCATGGTGTGTACATGTACAACTACTATTAC